TGCTGGGACCAGATGCCCAAGACTGGCCCTCAGGGCTGTGAGAAGTGGATGGCCCCAGCTGGGAATGCATTATGAAAAATGCAAGGCTGGCTTAAAGTTCTACATCTATGACCCAGTCCTCTTGTATCCTCTGAGTTGGAAAGGGAGCATCTAGCCAACCCACTCTCACCTGCTCCAGGACCTTCATATTACACCTGCCTTCTCTGTTATTGTTAACCCCTCCAAGGCTTCATTAGACAGTCGCTTTCTCATGGAGCCTTTGATAATATTCCAAGTGAACCAACCTGGTTCGCTTCCCGACAGCACCTGGTGCTTGCCTATCTGCAGTACTTACTCTTACCACGCTAGGTTAGCTGAATAGTGTGTCAGTGTCCACTGAGCTATGCAGACCTCCAGGGAGTTGAGGCTGGAGCAGGTTCATCCTCCTATTCCCAGCTATTTACATTGGAACTGGTCATGACATGCCCCAAGAAGTTTTGCTAAATAAATGAACGACAGTGGGAACGAATGAAGCTGTAGGCTCAGGGTCAGACGCTCCAAGGTTAACAGCACTCAGAGGGTGACAGAGGCCCCAGCTCCCTTTGTTGGATATCAGATAACTGATTATAGTCAGGAGCCCTACCCAAGACCAACTTGGGTCCCATGAGGCTCAGCTCTCTTTTTTCTTTTTTGATATTCATCTTTACTTGTAGAGTTACAGAGAGAACGGGAGAGAGAGAGCACATTTGACTGAGAATCTTCCATCCACTGGTTCACTCCCCCAAATGGCCATAATGGCCAGAGTTGAGCTGATCCAAAGCCAGGATTCATGAGCTTTTCCAGGTCTCCCATATGGATGCAGGGGTCAAGGACTTGAGCCATCTTCTACTGCTTTCCCAGACAATAAACAGGGAGCTGGATGGGAAATGGAGCAAACTGGGACGTAAATTGACACCCATATGGGATGTTGGCTCCCATAGGTGGAGGCTTAGTTAACTGTGCCACTGTGCCAGTTCTTGATGCTTAACTTTTATAACTTTTTTCTATTAATTATTTTTATTTTTGATGATTTTTACATTGATTAGGGTGATAAGGGTCAAGGGCTACAGAAAGGTGGGTGACATCACTATTTCCACATTCTCTTTTTTTCCTTCCTGTATCTGGGGGATGGGGAAGATAAGGAGAGAAGCCACACTCAGCCTCCTAAATGCCTCTGCATCCTGGGTCCAGCTACCTGACACCACCCCAGGGTCCCAATGTGGGACATGCTCTGAATGTCCTGCTCAAGAGGGTTCAATAGTTCAACAGTTCTGAATTGCTGCCAATCTCGCCACTCCAAGTGCAATGAAATCTCTCCAGAATCCACTGGTTGACATATTCTACCTTAGAGTTTCCATTTGCCCAGATATTCACTGCCAATACTTGGCTGGGGTAGTTGATCAATTTATTGTGTCCTCTGTCCTCTATTATGGTACCAGGTGTCCTCTGCAGACTCCAATACTGCCATATCCTCCCTGTGCTCCTTCTAAGCCACTGAGGAGACCCAGCTCTGACATATGCACTCCATGGTCAGACCATGGAAACTGCAATTCTCTCCACGGTTAGGGTCCAGCGAGTTATTTGTGGGGATCCCACTAGAAATTTCGTCTGAGGTGATCCTAGACCTGATTCTTGTGTGTGCCTGCCAATACAGGGTCCGGCACAGTCTGTCGCCCCATCCAGCTTATGCACACTTGGTGGTTGCAATTGCTGGGTCAGTTCTTCCTCCAGCCCTGTCTTCTACACAAACAAATGGATGCTGTAGGCTTGCCCGAACCTGCCCACCACACACTTGGCCTTCATGTATGCTAGTGGGAGCGGCCGCCGAACTGGAGCAACCCACAATAACTCTCATCATGCCCGCCCCCGCCCTGGTTCCTGTGCTTGCCAGTATGTACAGCAGACTGGTCCAGTCTGTCCCACATCCCATTCAGCTCTCACACATGTCAATGGACATTGAAGCCTATCAACTTTTACAACTCTTACAACAGTTTTCCCAACTTGTTGTCGACTATGCTGTCTGTGCTTAGTTAAATCTCATTGCTATCCCTAAGCTCCGAACAGCATCACCCTTTGTCTTTGTTCCTCACAGTATCTCTAGCACCTAGCACAGTGCCTAGCACACAGGAGATGTCCAGTAAACATTTAAAATACAAACTAATCTGAGAATGAATGAATGAATGAATGAATGATTACTGAGGGGGTAAAGGGGCAGGGGACAAGGCCTCTCCCTGCACCCAGACCAGGGATCAAGGCATTACAGCTAGACACATGGAAGCTGCGACCATGCCTGTGGCATTCCTCACCCCTTCATGAGCTTTTGCACTCTCATTGCCTTGCAGCCACCCAGGAAGGGGGCCAGGACCTGGGCTCAGCCTGCAGCAAAGCAGCCAGGGTACCTGTGAGTGCAATCTGTGACTTTTGCTCTTCAGTGTCTTTCAGAAGGAGTCCCAGCCCCTGCCTTTCAGGGACCTGAATAGAGTCGGTAGGTTTCCACAAGTGTACTGCTCAGTGTTTCTGTTTCTGTATTCCATTCAAACTTCATACTAATTAAAAAGGAAAACAAAACCAAACAAACAGTCCACATGTGTGAGTACTTACTCTGATTCCAGCACACACATGTTCCATGTATCCATTGGTTGATCATGGGTGACAACTTAGGAGTTATCCATGATGACTGTACCTTTTCCCAGAGGATGGCATTGAGGCGCATTGAGGTCACAGATCAAACAAGAGAGCTGAGCTTTGAAGCTGGGTCTGTCTGCACTGTAAATTGGCAACCCTTGCTCCAGCACTACCCAGGAGGCCCTGGATTTCCTAGATTCCACTCTGGGGTCTGGCCACCCAGGTTTAGCTCTAAGGCCGGCTGTCCAGGCCTCTCTCCCTGGGGACTGAGTGCTATTTAAAGCAGCTTACCTAGCCGTTCCCATTCTCTGAGCTCAATCCTACAGCCAGCAACAAATGAGTCCTGTGCAGGGGCAGCTGCCTGAGGAGGCAGGTGGGAGAAGGGAGTGGGGGAGGGGATATGCTCTTCCTCCAAACCCATAACCTCTCTTCCCCTTTTGCCTCCTTCTTTGTCTCCTTATCTGTCCCCCCTAGAAAAGTCCGATCCCCTTCTAGGTGCCTCATTTTTTCCAACTGCCTGAGCTACAGCCTCAGGGGTCTGGGGACTCATGCCAACCTCTCCAGGAGATATGTGTTCCCTGAATTAGGCCCCAGGAGGCGATTGCACCCCATGGGAGATGGCACCTTCCAGGAAGCAGGTTGCTTTTCTCCTTCCTTCTTCATATTCTTCCTGTCCCCTGTTTTCTTAGTCACCAGAATTAGTCATCTAAAGAGGGTTTCAGGGGAATTAGCAAGAGTGAACCTGAGAAAAGGAGGGGGTCTTAAGTGAGTGTGTGGTGTGTACCTGGGCCCACTGCTTCTGGGGTCAAGTGGCAGGAGAGGGGGCTACGTAGGCCAGAATGTGGACACAGGATTGGAAGGGATGTATGCTGCTCAGGACACAGACAACACAGATGATCCCTGGATTTCTGGGTTCAGGATGTCCCTGGAAACCCTCAGCCTGGGGATCCTGGGATCCGTCCCCCCTCCTCCTTGGACACTCTAGAATCAGGGTCCCGCCTACCCTCCTTGCAGACCCAGTAGAGGGTGACATCATGCCTCTGAGGGTCAAGAACCCACTCCAAGGTCCCTGTGCTGTCCACCCTGACATTCCTCCTGTGATGGGATAGGACGAGAATGGGAGCGTCACGCTTGGAGACTTGTGCCATGGGCCCTGAACCTCAGGACCAGGAAGCAGCTTTTGAGCGGGAAGCTTGATGGTCTCTTCTGCTTTATCCGAGCCCTGGAGCACAGGATGCTGTGGGGAGCACAGAAGAGGACCTACCAGCACAGGCTACCTCCTCCGCCAACAGCCCGAGATACCTTGCGCTGTTGACAACTCTGGTGCTTTGGCCCAAGGGTGACCTCCTTGCTTTCGCATTTCACCTCCTCTCCCCCAGGTCCTACCAGCCTCCTCTCCCTCCCTAGAGCTGGTGGAGGCTACCCCATCACCCACCCAGGATAAGGCTACCGCAGTGCTGCACTGGGAGGAAATGCACAATTGCACATGCCGCTGCCACCCCGCACAAAGTCCCCATGGACCTATGCCCTATGCGGGGTCTGCCCATGCTTTTCCTGGACCCACCGAGTCCCCATTAAACAAAAGTATCTGGGATGCAATCCAGGTACCCCTCCTGACCCTGAGAAAATGCAATTCCCAGCACGCCCCTATCCCATTTCTGCAGTCTTGTGTGTATGGGGGGTGCGGGGTCCTCTCTTTTTTACCCAGCCTCTTTTGAAATCTGCATTGGATATCTTGCAAGGGCCCTCCCTCAGTTCTTGATTTTTACCCTGGAAAGTGTGCGGTGTGCAGGCGTCTGGGTGGCAGCCCAGCCGCAGGCCCGCCTGAGTGGCTCAGCGACTTCGCACAGCTACTTAACCTCTCGCCTCCCTCCTCTCCAAGAAGGAGACAAAAATACTTTCCTCCTTGGCTGAGTTGTTGTGAGATTAAATCTGATCCGGGTATAATGGGGCATTTAGCTGAGCGCCTGGGCATAGTCAGCACTCAATAAAGAGCTGCCCGTACCTCTGAAGGTCTGTGGCTCTCTAGTCGCTTTGTCCTTGACCACGTGGCCCTGGGAACTGACCAGCCTCTCCTGGGGGGAGAGGAGGCGGCATCTCTGACACAATGCCAGCAGCCCTGGAAAAAGGAGCCTCTGGGGTGTTGCTTCCCCCTGCTCCTGAACTCCTTCCACAAGGTTTGTTAGGATGCTCCAAGCATACAGGGGTACTGAACTGAGCAGGCCTTGAATCTAGCAGTCTCTTGCTGATTCCTGGGATAAGTGGAAGGGATTCTTGGCAGCCAGAGATTAAGGTCTTGTGAAATCAAGGAATCTTGCTTTGGGAGAAGGAATGAAACAGGGGCGACAGAGGATCCGTCTTATTGCCTTTATTCCGCCATTGGCCCAGCTGGCCCCATGGCAGGGCACAGGAGCAAGCTTGTACGCGCTCAACCATGCTCTCCGTGCAGACAGCGCGCATGTGCACGCACACGTACACACACACACACACATACACACACACAGATGCACACACAAGCACACACATCCCATCTCTGGCTCTGAGAGTCAGTCTCTGGGGAGGGGCACGGGGCTGCTCCTCAGCTTGCCCCTGCCTGCCCGTTATGACAGCACCAAGGGTGGGGGTGGGGCAGGGCCCTCAGCCCCCAGAACAAGTCCCTGTGCAAACTGGAGGTGCCAGTTGGCTATAGGATGGGGAAGGACGCCATGTCTCCCCACTCCTGGAGTCCCCTCCTCCAGCTCCTGAGGGAGGGACTGCTCTCTGCCTACCTGGAGGGCCAGACCCCTGCCAGGGCTGGGCCCTGGAGGGTGGAGTGGGGGTGGGGAACCCAGGCTGGCCCCACACCTGACCCTGCCAGGACCTGCAGCCTTGCAGAGTTGGAGGTTTGCAGGGATTTCCCCACTGCAGAGCAGGAAGGCCCGAGCCCCAGGGGTCTGGGGAGGGGTCATCACCCCATCTCCTAATCCATCTTCAATATGAAGAGGTGTGGGGCACGCTTCCTGGGGAGGGAGCACAGGTCTGGACAAAGTCCCAGCGCGGGCCCTCTCCCTAACTTCCATCTTCTGGGCCACAGCCTGAGGCCGGGCATCCAAAAGTCTGAGAGTCCAGGCAGCTGGTTGGAGTCCCTGCGCAGTCCTCGGGGGCCACCCCCCGAATGGGGCACCGTATGTCAGACCTGCACAGGCAGGGTCTGGTTCATCTGCAGCCGCATGTCCTGGATACTACTGAGGATCTTCTTCTGGTGGCCAGCCAAAGTGACGCCGATGCGGAGCAGGTCCCTGTGCACGGAACGGGGGCAGGGTCAGACCCAGCAACACAGAGGACTCAGCCCCACCCGCCCTCCCTCCCCTGCAGAGGCGCACTTACTCTGCAGTCATCTGGGCTACCAGGTCAAAGGATGCAAACCCCGCACTGCCGAAGCTCTCCTTGTACCGTCCCATCTTGATGGCATCCAGCCAGTCACCAACCGTGGTGAAGGTTGTGTAGTCAGGGACTGTGCGGTCCAGGAGGGGCTGTGACATGCTGTTCGGGGGAAGAGAGGAGGGACCTGGTGAGTCCTGAAGGCCACAGGGCTACTGGCTCAGCGGGGGGCAGGAACAGAGGCACCCATACACTAACCCAGATTGGGCACTGGCGATGACTTTGAGGCTGGCAGCGTTGCGGATGAGCTTGTCCAGGGTATTGACGATCTGAGAGAATTTGGGCCTGAGGTTCCGATCTCGCACCCAGCAGTCCAACATGAGCTGGTGCAGTGCTGTGGGGCAGTCCATGGGTGGGGGCAGCCGGTAATCCTGCTCCACAGCATTGATGACCTGGGGCAGCGGGGGGCAGGGAGGAGAGGAAGGGTCAGGGAAACTCGGAGTGAACCGCCACAATGCTCCCAGCCCAGCCAACTCCCACCCGCCTAACCACTGTGGCACACCCCCACTCACATCCTGGTTGCTCATGTCCCAGTAGGGTCGCTCTCCGTAGCTCATGACTTCCCACATGACAATCCCGTAGCTCCAGACGTCACTGGCAGAGGTGAACTTCCGGTAGGCTATGGCCTCTGGGGCGGTCCAACGGATGGGGATCTTCCCACCCTAGGTGGGGGGGATACATGCCCTTGACCCTATGACTCAGGGCTGCCCCCTAGCCCCAAGCCCCAGCCTGGCTCCCCCTCCCCATTTTCCCTCTCCCCCAGCCCACAGCGGTCTCCCTCCTGTACCAGGGAGCTGGTGTAGGTAGGGTCCGAGGGGTCATCCTCCAAGAAGCGGGAGAGGCCGAAGTCAGAGACTTTGCAAACTAGGTTGCTGTTGACAAGGATGTTGCGGGCAGCCAGGTCCCGGTGCACGTAGTTCATCTCAGACAAGTACTTCATACCAGCCGCAATGCCCCTCAGCATGCCCACCAGCTGGATGACTGTGAACTGCCCATCGTTGAGCTGCAGGGGACAAGCAGGTTCAGGGACGTCCACGGCCTCCTTCCCAGACCTCTGCGCCTTCTCCAAGCCCCGGGGAATCAGGGGGCCAGGTCCAAAATGTGCTCTCCCAGCCCTGCCTGACACTTGCTAGTTAAGTGCCCTGTGAGCCCTGGGGCTCTTGGTGAACTTGAATGAAGGGAAGAAGGGAGTGGGGAATGGGGGGTGGAGAAGGGTGGGGAAGGAAGGCCATGGTTCTCACCCGAAGGAAGGAGTCCAGGGCACAGTTTTCCATGAACTCTGTGAGGATCATGACTGGCCGACTCTTGGTGACCACGCCCTCCAGCCGGATGATGTTGGGGTGGTCAAACTGACCCATGATGGAAGCCTCGCTCAGGAAATCCCGCCGCTGCCTCTCTGTATAGCCCACCTTCAGGGTCTTGATAGCAACGAACACCTCGCGGCGGCCGGGCTGCTTCAGCCGGCCTCGGCACACTTCCCCAAACTCCCCTGTATATATGGAACACAGGGCAAGATCCCATGAGCTCTTCCTGGGGCCACAACGGGAGCCAGTGTAGCCTAAGTCATGCTCTCACCAATCACTGCACTACAGCACGCCCCCTGAGGGGTGGGACTCACCAGCTCCAATCACCTCCTCGATTTTGACGCACGACACATCAATCTCCTTGGCAAACTCGCGTACCGCCTCATTGGGGTCCTCATAAGTAAAAGGGTCGATGTAAACCTTCATCCCAGGAGCAACTGTGGGCAGAAGGAGGGAGGGACATGAGCGGGCCAGAGATCTGGCAGCTTTTGGTGGGGAGGGGATCCCTTGGGGCCTGGCCAGGACTCTGTCAGCAGTGGGCGCACCCTCCTCGGACTGCCTTGCCAAGCCTGTGGTGCAGTCTAACGCGGACGCCCTCGCCCCAGCTCCGTGGCCTGGACAGCCCAGATTCTTGTCTTGCTGGCTCGCCCTCCTCTCCCATCATGTCCAGACGTCTCTCTGCCTCACTCCTGCCGGTTCCCACTGCCCTGAGCCCATTCTGGCCTTCCACACTGAGACTCCTGCCCCGGCTGCCGCTGCGCCTCTGCACTTTTCCCACCAGGAGTCCTGCATGCCGCCGCCTTCCCACAACAATGCTGCTATTGTGCGGACTCCCCAGCTCCAAAGCCTTCCCAATGACCTTGTGGGGTCAAGTCCAAACTCCTCTGGCCTGTCTTTCAGGACCCTCCCAAGGCTGGCCTGGCGGCAAGTACCCAGCCTGCTTCTCAGCTGCGGTCAGGCCAGCTTCTCACTGCCCCCACCGCTGGGCTCTCTCCCCTCCCCACCCATCCCAGGCCCAGGCTCCTCTCATGAGAAACACTCTCCCCACCTCTTGAAACCCAGCTTGTCTCGTCTCTGCTCAAGTCCACCTCCTCCAGGCAGCCTTCTTCCTCTCTGAACTCTTCCTGCCCTTTGCAACAGGAATAGCCGGCTGAACACTTAATGGTTCTCTAATTGTTTCCTGTGTGTATGGATCTTGTCTTTCCCACAGGACTAACTGCCTCAGAGGGCAGAGGTCACATCTCATTCACTCCTGGAGCCAGCAGGAGGGAAGGAAGGGTCAGGGTACTTGAGTGAGGAGGAAGGGATCAGGGGAGCAGGAAGGAGGAGTCAGAGTACCTGGGTAAGGAAGGAGGAGAGAGGGGAGCAGGAGTGAGGAGGGAGGTGCCAGGGTACTTGGGTGAAGAGGGAGAGGTGAGGGTAACAGGAGTGAGGAGGGAGGTGCCAGGGTACCTGGGAGAGGAAGGAAGGGTGAGGGTAGCAGGAGTGAGGAGGAACGGGTCAGGAGGTGGCACAGCGCTGGAAGGAGGAGGTAGTCCAGGTTTGTTCACAGGACGAGGGTCTGGGGTGGGTGTGGGCAGGGCCCTGGGGAGCTGGGTGAAGGACAGACTCACTGTATTGCTGCAGCTTCTCTGTGTACTCTGAGTCTGGACCGTGTCGCTGCTTCCTGGGGGACAGAGAGGGGACAGGCTTGAGACAAGTCCTGGCACCCAGGAGGAGCCCAGGGTCTAACAACAGGTCAGGAGACGACCTTGGTGTCTGGTCCCATGGTTAACAATCATAACAGCCTCTGGCCAGGAGTCTCAGGGGCCAGGGTGAGGCAAGCAGGACAGAATGAAGACTTGCAATGGGTTGGGAGTGGCCTCTGCTGCAGCCAGGAAGGTGGAAGCTCAGGGCTGGAGGGCTGCTGCTGTGTAGAGGCACATGGGCCTTTGGGCAGCTCTGGCCAGCGCAGCGGGGGCGGGGGGAGGGGGGGTAAGCACATGCTCAGCCATACCTGAGGCAAACAATGGCAATGACCACAACAGCCACGACAAAGACCAGCCCAGCTGTCGCCGAGCCCACGATGAGAGGCAGCTGTTCCTGGAGCTGCTGGGTGCCAGAGCCTGGACATGGAGGAGAGGGGAGGGGCTGGTGAGCAGAGGGAGGCCTTGGACAGGCAGGGGTGGGGATAGGCATAGGGACCCTATGTACCTCTCTCGCTAGTGGTCTCGAACTCGGCTGGGCGGCTGTACTGCCCATAGCCGGCCACAGTGCGGGCTCGAACCTGGACCACATAACGGGCATCAGGCCGCAGTCCATCCAGCTGCACGGAGTTCTTCTGGCTGGTTACAGTGGAGGCGATGCCCTCGCTCTGCAAGGTCACCAGGGAGTGGGTGCTGTCAGGGGGAGGGGGACCTGAGGCCCACCAGTCCCTGACTACACCCATGTACGTCTCCATAGCCCCTCACTTGGGCTGCCTGAAGGGACACCCTCCCTCCACCATCTCCAGTGCCAGCCGGGCTGAGTCAACTGGGCACAGCTCAGCCCAAGATTGCCTCCTGCCCTTGGGGTGCTGACCTTTTCAAAGTACTTCATCTCGTAGTCCAGGATGACTCCATTGGGCCGTTCCGGGGGTGCCCAGGACAGGGTCAGGCTGCTGCCCGAGCTGCTGTGCAGGTGTAGAGTGGGCACTTCGGATGGAGCTGAGTTGTGTGAGGGGGAGAAGAGCAAAAGCTCACTGTGGGTTCTGTGGGCTCCATGGGCCCTGACCTACTTCCCAAACACTAAGGTCTCCAGCAGCCCCCCGACCCCCTTAACAGGCTCTGGGCAAGCTCAACTCAGTTCTGTCATCCTGCTTACCAGCCTGGTTGGTGGTGATATTCACAGCTGCATAGCGGGGAGGCAGAGGGCTCTTGCCTGAGACCCCATTGACTGCTTGCACTTCGAAGGTGTAACGCGTGTGGGCCAGCAGGTGGCTGATGTGCACCCGGCGTTCGGTCAGGCCCAGCTGCCGAGGCACAAACTCCACATTGTCATCACAGCGTGAACAGCTTGAGGGACCCCCAGAGCCCGGGCTACCACGGCACTTTTTACAGATGACATTGTACAGGAGGTCATCCCGGCCGCCCAGGTCCCGGGGCTCACTCCACTCCAGGATCAGGGACGTCTCATTCACATTGGAGATGACACCCCGGGGTGGAGATGGCACCGCTGCAGAGAACACAAGAGTGGGCAGTGAGCCAGGAGCCTCGCAGGCCCACCTGCTCCTGATTCCTCACCTGGCTGCTGCTGTAAATAAGCAGAATACCTTTTCTATACTTCTTCCTGAGCAGCTTCCTAGCTATCCGTTCAAGACTCAACTTGCGATGTCACCTCCTCTTAGAAGCCTTCCATGATTGAGCTACCTATAACACATTCTGGGGCCAGGCTAAAGCCCAGCAGTCGGCACTCAGCACACTCACACACAGCCATTGTTTTCTTTTGCATCCTTTCCTCCCTGAAGTTGAAGGCTCCTTGAGGATAGTGACTACCTCTTTTTACCCTCCGCATCCCTGGCACCGAGTGAGAAAGTGAATGGGGCCAGAGAGTCACAGCTGAACACAGAGGAAGAGGTGTTAGGCTGGCAGGTACTAACAGATTCCTAATGCTGGCCAGGAGCTAGCAGGTGTCTGTTCAGTGTTGGTGCAAAGGACAAGCTGGCTGGCTTGCCTTCTGGCTCAGGGGAGTTGGTGGTTAGCTCCCAGCTACGCAGGCTTCAACATCTAACTTCCCTGAGCCTCAGCACCCCATCTTGGTGACTGCCTAGGTCTCCCCAGCTAGCCCCCAAGGGAGGTCCCGCAGCAGCTGGGTGGGCAGGCAGCATTCACTCACTGGTGCAGGCACTGTCGGCGGAGTCGGAGTCTGCGCGGTAGAAGTTACTATGGCAGGTGCAGATGCTGGCAGCTGTTGAGGTGGTACGGCTGTTGGGAGGGCAGGGGAGGCAGGGCCCTTCCCCCTGCTTCGCCTTGTAGCTCCCTGGGGGACAGGCTGGGGTGGCGGGGGGTGGGGTGGGAGAGAAAGAATGGACAGTGCTCACTTCCTTCCCTGTAGACACCAAGCTTACACACCTCCCTCCCTGAGTGCCCAGCCCAAGTGCCAGCCCCTCTGCCTCCTAGACGAGGGGGCTGTGCAGGAATTGCCTCACCCAGGCTGCAGCCACAAAAGCCCTTGTGCCCCATGGAAACCCCACGTCAGCAGATTCCTCCCCACCCCTGCCCCCCTCACCCTCACCCTGGGGCCTCCCGGACGCAGACGTCAGCCCATCACCTGGACAGCCTGGGCTTGTTGAGGCAGAGCAGGCAGAGAGAGGAGGAGGCAGAGGAGGGAGATGCTGCGGGTTGCTGAGTTGGCTGAGCCCCTGCCCTGCCCTAAAGCTCTAGGGAACCTTCAAGGGCACCCTGGGACAGCCAGGAGGGCTCCTCTTCCCTCAGCCTCAGGCCCTACCCTTCCCCAGAACTCGGCAGCACTACCCTTGTGCCCCAGGGCAGGGTGGGAAAAGGAAGGTGAGGAGGAGAGAGAGAGAGAGAGAGAGAGAGAGAGAGAGAGAGAGAGAGAGAAAGGCAGCTAGACTGGGTCACTGCAGGTCAGAGGCCTGCTAGAACCCACCAGCGACCTCGCCTCAAAGCCCACTGGAAGCATGAAGCCTGAACTCTCTCCCCTCCCCCCCAACTCCCTTCTTGCCACCTCCACTCTGGCCCCCTGGGTCCCCAGGCAGAGTGGAGAACCTGATGGATGACTCAGGACTCAGGCGAGGCTATTTGAAAGGGCACTAGCAGTAACTATTAGGATAACGGGCATAAGCTGAGGCTCTCCTGGACCCACCAAAGCACATTGCCAGCCTGCCTGGTTTATGGGTTGGGCTGCGACTTCATCAGCTTCAAGTTCTCCCTTGACAAGGTGATCGCCATCCCAGGGCCTCTGAGCTAGTGGGGGAGGGAGCAGAGGCCAGGCCAGCCTGGTTGCTATGGGAACCAGCATGCATTTCCTGCCAGGGACCTGCAGAGTGTTAGCCCCTCTCCAGGCTGTCAGGCTCGTCACCCCCCACCCCTTTCTCCACTTGGGAAGAGGAAGTCTGGTGCAGGTTCCCATAGAGGGGGTGGCACGAGGCACCCTGACCACCAGGGCAATGCTCCACACTCTCACATCCAGGGTCCTCACCCTCCCATTGGAGCCACAAGCTGCACGCAACCTCAGGGTGGGGAATGGTCCAGAGGACCCTGTTCCCTCAGCTCCTTGTCCTGCCAGCTCTTGAGCCCTGGCTAAGGCATCAGTGCCAACTTGGACTCTGAGACTCAACTTCCCCACTGGCGTAATGGAGGCAGAGCTGACAGCTGCCTTGCATGTGGTAGCTGAGGTTCAGATGGAAGAAACCAGTGTGAGTGGACTTGAAGGTCTACCAAGCCCGAGCCAGCCCCCTAACCTCTTCTGGACGTGACAAGGACGATCCCTGGAGCTGGGAGATGCAGGGTTCACACATCCATCATGGCTGTGCTGCCCCGTGCTGGGCACTGCTCCATGGGCACTCACTGCTCACTTAATTCATGCTGACTTGGCCCACAAGGAATCACGGGTTCAAAGAGTTAAGTCATTTTCCCTAGGTCATAAGGGTGCTGAGTGACAGAGTCAGGACTCAGGGCTTCAAGGACAGGCCCTCACCCTTCCTGCTACATAAAGCAGGAAACATTTTCAGAACATTCATGGAAAATAGGATGAAAAGATGCATTCAGAAGCCAGCGCTATGGTATGGCTGGTAAAGCCACTGCCTGCGATGCTGGTATCCCAATGGGTGTCAGTTCGTGTCCCGACTGTTCCATTTCCCATCAAGCTCCCTGCTTGTGGCATGGGAAAGCAGTCAAGGACAGTCCAAAGCCTTGGGACCCTGCAGCCACATGGGAGACGCAGAAGAAGCTCTTGGCTTCAGACTGATTCAGCTCTGGGCATTGTGGCCATTTGAAGAGTGAATTAGCAAATGCAAGAGATTTCTTTCTTTCTGTCTCTATAAATCTGCCTTTCAGATAAGATAAATCTTAAAAAGAAAATATGCCTGGATTTCAAAATATTTACATCGAAATGAAGTCATCATTTCATTCTACTTTCCATGGGCTTTTTAAAGTCCCTGTACTGCTTGGCAAGAAACAGACGACACCCCAAGGTAGATGATGCCCGTGGCTGCTACCTCCTCAGCTCTGGGGCCCACCTAGCACCTTCAGAGGTAGACACCTGAGCCAGGACTAAGTGGGCACATCTTGCAGCCTTCCAAGCCTGTGACCAGGTTCCCTGGGTGTCTCTCTCTCTCTCTCTCTGATTTCATTTTCTCTCTTATTACTCTTGTGCCCTTCTGCTCATGCCTGCACCACATTCCCTCACAAACATTTTCCTGTGCTCTCTCTCTGCACCAGACCAGAGAGCAAGTGGGCCACCTCCACCCCAATCCCAACCCCTGGAACAGGCCAGCCCCTACTCACCACGGCACTGCGTCTCCTTGGCAGCTGGCTCATAGCCGGTGGCACAGGTGCAGGCCCCCACAGGAACCATCCATTCTCCATCTCCGTTGCAGTAGAGTTTGAGTGGCACAGACACCTCCACGGCATTTGGGATGCAGGTGCCGGGAGCAATAACCAGTGAGGTAGGCTCAGCCCCGGTGAGGGTCTCTGGGAAGAGCGCGAAGCCCGCCGTGGTGGCTGCGCACTTCTTGTAGAAGGCACGCACGGAGATGAGTGACACACAGGCTCCCTGGTCCTGGAAGGCCAGGTAGAAGCCGGCCTTGGACAGTGGCCCGAAGCTGCGCACCTTGGTGTTGACACGGCCAGTGTCGAGCCGTGAGAAGCTCTCGTCGGGCGCGATGGTGTCCACTTTCACGTAGGGGTTCTCCATCCAGAAGGGGGAAGAAGCTGAGGCCACGTCGCTATCAGCCTCATAGTAGAAGAGGTTGAAGGTCTCTTTGCAGGAACCGGGAATGTTGGGGATGCTATTGCAGTCGCGCACGGTGAACTTGAGCTCCACATACACCCTCTGCACGTCCCGCCGCCACATGAAGCCCGTGCGCAACCAGTTGTTCTGGCTTGACTCTCGCACGTTGCACACCTGGTACGTGCGGATGGGGTTCATAGCCTCGTCGTAGCCGCTCACCTCCTCCCACTGCACATGGACCAGATGGAAAAGAAAAAGCGAATGTCAGTATTTGCCAAACGCTCAGCATGTGCCTCATCTGGGGCCGGTGCTGTGGCGCAGCCAACAAAGCCATTCTACCCTGTGATGCCCGTATCGCATGATGGGTGTTGGTTCAGGTCTTGGCTTCTCCAGTTCCCATCCGCTCCTTGTTAATGTGCCTGGGAAAAGCAGCAGAAGATGGCTTGAATGCTTGGGCTCCTGCCACCCATGTGGGAGACACGGAGGAAGCTCTTGACTCAGGCTTGGGGAGCGAACCAACGGATGGAAGACCTTTCTCTCTCTCCTCTCTGTAACTCTTTCAAAATAAGTAGATAAATCTTAAAAACAACAATAACATGACAGACCCGATATATTTACTTCTTCCCACATGCTCCACAGGTGTAGGGGCCCAGCAGAGCTTTCTGCCTGCTGTGTGAACATGATGAGTTAAGCTTCTTAACCTCCTTGAGCCTGGGTTTCCCATCTACAACATGGAGATAATAAAAAGGTAAATACTAAATGACCCTAAACAAATAAAACACTTACGGTAGTGCTGGGAACTTGATAAGTGCTACAATATTGCAGGAGCGTGGAGTGTTATCTATATACTATTTATTATCTTGAAGCCTGGTTTCATTACCTACAAAGTGGAGCTGATTGGCATTAAATGAGACTGTGAGAAATTAGGTTGCTATATGAGGGCATTTCCAAAAGGTTGTGAGGAAATGGGATTAAGTAATTAGTTACTCTCTTGAATAATTATTTTAGATTAATTTTATTTTGAGGCAAAAAGAAATTGAGAATCTTTATGCACAATGTTCCCACAATATTCAGTGTCATGAACTTCTTGAAGACCTCTTGGGCTTCTAACAGCACCTAACAGAGCAGGTATCTCCCAAGTGTTGGCCATCACCAATGCCACATTTAACTGTCACATCCCAAAGAGGTGTGTCTCCATTTTATCTTAGTTTTACAAAATATTTACTGACTTGAAAAGTAGACCAACAGTGAAAGAGAGAGGTATTTTTGTATCTGTTGGTTCTTCTTGGGGAATGCTGCATGCAGGCCGAGCTAGGCCAAAGCCGAGAAACTTCATCCTAGTCTCCCAGGTGGGTGGCAGGAAACCCTGTGCTTGTTATCATGCATTGCTTCCCAGGTGCACCTGCAGGAAGTAGGTGAAGAGTAGAGGAGCTGGCGCTGGAATCAGTACTCCAATACAGGATGTGGTTTTCAAGAGGTGACTTAGCCTCTTTATTTCTTTTAATTTCAAAGGCAGAGTGACAGAAACAGTGAGACAAAAGGACAGATTTTTCCATCTGTTGGCTTATTCCCTAAGTAGTGACAACAGCTAGGATTAAATCAGGCCAAAGCCAGAAGCCAAGAACTCTCTCATTTGGGTGGCAGGGGTTCAAGTGCTTGGGTCATCTTCTGTGATCTTCCCAGGAGCATTAACAGGGAGCTGGCTGGAAGCAGAACAGCCAGACAGGAACCAGAGCTCTCATATGGGATACAGGGATTGCAAGTGGTAACTTCACCTGCTGTGCCATGACCCCAACCCTAGCCCTAATTCAGAAAGGAAGAAGCCAAGGTTCACAGAGAGGAATGATGTGTCCTGGGTCACACAGTGAGGCCTGGTAACTACAGGGCCTGTAGCATCATTGTACACAGGGGTTCTAGGGTTCAGAAAGGCATGAATACCATTTAGGGAGCTTCAAAGTCAGGACTACAGGAATTGACATTCAAGAAAAGGGAACTTAGGGGCTGGCATGTAGACTAGTGGTTATGATACCACTTGGAACACCCACATTCCATATCTGAGGATCTAGATGTGAGTGCTGGCCTCCCTGCAGATTCCAGCTTCCTGGGAGTGCACAACTTGGGAAGCAGCAAGTGATGGCTCAACTAGTTGGGTCCCTGTAACCCACATAGGGATTGTGTTCCAAGCTACCAGCCGATACAGGCATCTGAGTAGTAAACCAGTGATTGGAGTACTCGATCTCTCAAACAGAAATAAATTTTAAAAATCAAGAAATGGAGACTCAGAAGGGTTGATTGTTTTGTTCAAGGTCACGCAGCACATCCAAGATCTAGAGCAAGGTGCCCTGGTTTCCAAGGATCCAGGAAGGGGAGAGATGGCTGGAGATGGCCAGGGAAGGGTGATCAGGCAAGAGGTGAGAGGGAATGAGGGCAGGCTGAAAACAGGTGGAGGGAGTAGGAACTGAGGTAGTGCGGCATGGAAGCAGGTAGCAACTGCAGAAGCCAGCAGGTGACACAGCGAAGAGGATGCTGGGAAAGGGAGTAGGGCACTAATAGCAGCCAACATTTGAGAGGGGGAGATAAGAGGAAGTCTTACCCCGCTTTCCGGATGGGATGTCCATCCCAGCTCAGACGTCACCCACTTGGTGTCCATGAGGGTCTCTGGGGGAGTAACATTGGAAAAAGATCAGGGTGGGGAGAAAGCAATGGGCACCCAGGAAAGACCTGGGACACACGATCCAGTCCCCAAAGACAACATAATCTCCAACCGCAGAAGAGACCTTGCAGCCATCCCCAGAAATGTCAGAGGTCGGCCAGCAGCCAGGCAGGGGTGGGGGATGTCTGCGGCTGACCCCAGGCCTGGCTTAATGAGGCGGGAGCAGAGGCCAGTTCACACACCTACAGCTTCTGCTAATCTCCACACAAAGGGACCAGTGGGGCCTTTATCCTGCAACAAAGGGCTGTGTGCTTCAGACTGGCAGCAACCCTGGCTTCCCAACTACACACTCTGCCCAGGGAAGAGCAAGGCAGGGCAAGGCCTGGCAGGAGCCAGCTTTCATCAAGCCCTCCCCCTACCCCAGCCTCCTAGGTGACACAGGGCAGGCTCTTTGAGGGTGGGAGGAGACCAGAACCAGGTCCAGGCCACCTCTTTTTGCAGCCCTTGGAGGAGGGAAGCCAGGACTGGGCAAAGCCAACTCACACTGAAGGTCAAAATGCCAGGACTTGGGGTGAGCTGGGGTGCACATGCAGGTCTCCCTTTTTCCATGATAACCCCTTGCCCTGTGGCTGCAGCATGTGAAGGGGGAACAAGAGAAAGCCTGGGGTGTGCCTGCTTGTACTTTACATCCTAACTGAACCGTTACCTCCCCTGGAAAATTCTCTTGAATCTCCAAGCCAGAGTTAGAAAGCTGTGTGCTGGGCCTCAAGAGCCAGGGGCTTTGTCCAGCACCAGTCCTGGTTGCTGAGCCATCCTGCCTGGTTATTCCTCCTGCTCAAGCATAGCAGATGCTCATTCAAGCTTCTGACATCCACTGATTCTCATACAAACTCGGTTCTGGCTTAGGGGCTGGACAACTCCACTTTCTGAAAGACACAGGGACACCCCTTCCCAGATCAGAGCTAGGAGCAAGATGTGAGGCAAGAAGTGCCAGTTCTTGTCCCGTAGTGCAGGGAAGGGAGGCAGGCAACCAGCAGCTCTCTTACCCCCGAGCTGGATTGGGCAGATTTGCCCCAGAACTTCTGCAGGCCTATGCAGTCATAAGGAGACAACAGAGGGTACCCAGGAGGGGCAAGACACTCAATACCGCAGGCTCCAGGCTTGCACAAGCATTCCTGGCTTTCTGGAGCCTGGATCGGTGGAAGCCAGGGGCTATACTGGACCCAGCGAGAGGACAAGACAGCGGGCAGCCCGGCTCCCTAAGGGGGGCCCAGGACTGCGAGGGGAACAGCCCTTCACCGCAGGGAGTGCAGTTTCCGCCTCCTGCAGGAACTCGGGTGCAGGAGAATCCATCCCAGCCTGTGGCCTGATGGGGGGGCCCCCTCTGGAAGACAGAGAGATAGGCACAGACGTTGGGCAGGCGGATCCCGGTGGGAAGCCGCGTTGGGCAGAAGCGGGCGGCTGCCGGCTGGAGGGCTGTGTAGCGCCGGCTGCTGGGAGCAGACAGCCAGCCGGGATGGCCAGTGGGGCGGGACTACAAAAGACAGCGAGATGGAGAGACAAGGAGGCCCAAGGAGCGGGAGCCGGAGGCTGCCAGGCGGCCTCGTCCTCAGCCCCGGCGGCCCCCGGGAACAGGGGCGCGCGCCCCTCCCCCGCCGCCCGCCAGTCCGCCCGCTGGTCTGCCCGCCGCCGCCCGAGCGGTCTCGGCTCCCTGCGCCCCCTCCTCCCGCTCTCTCACTTCCTTCTGCGCAGCCTGTGCCAAACCCATCTGGAACTGTTTAAACCCAAATATTCCGCCCCTCCCCCTGCAGCCAGATTCCTGCACAGTTTAAAACAAGCCCTGCGCGCTGGCTCCGCGAGCAGGGAGGGGACGGCGGGGAGGCGGCGCAGGAGGGAGCGGGGCGAGCGAGAGAGGGAGGGGATCGGCCCTTGGCCATCGCTCAGCCTTGGCCATCGCTCAATCTCGGCACATTTTTCCCATTAATGAGGAGAGGACTTGGATTTCGGGCCCTGTGTGCCTGAGGAAGGCTCCGGTCACCCTGGTGGGGAGGGGGCAGGCCTGCTCTCTTTTCCCCATTTCTGGGGTAAGGATGAGAGGGAGGAGTAGGGGCGGAGGGGTGGAGAGGGAAGGGGCTTTCTCCCCTCTACCCGGGATGGGACAGAAGGATCTTGGATCCTCTCAGATCCCGATGTGCTCCAATCCTGGATTCAGGAGGGAGAGAGGTGCGTGTGCTGGGGCAAAGGGTCCCCCGACCCATCTGGCTGTGGCACTGGGAGATTCAGCTCACCTCTTCTCTGGTGTGCATGGGTGTTCACACATGTGCACATACCAGGACAGGGGATATGAGGACAGGCGCTCCAAGACAAAAGAGGAAGAAGGAGCTGTTCCCAAACTCCCCCAGGCTGCTTCCCCATTGCCTGGCTGTGGGAGAGGGAGGCCCCTCCTCACCACCCAGTCACAGGCCTCTTGTCTTGATGACCCCAAGAGTCACCAAGGAAGAAGACATCCGGTCCGGGGTCATTCTGGGACTGGGGCTTGGATGTTGTAGGAGCAATAGCCTTTCAGGTTTCTAGCAGGCCACGGAGAACAGCCACGTGGCAGTGGTGCATGGCTCTGGCCTGTACACACACACACACACACACACACACACACACACACACACACACAGTTGCACACCTCACATCCCGTTCCCAGCGCCTTGGCTCATTCTCACCACCAGGGATGGGGAGCGACAAGTCAACACATCTGGTGGACCAAGCCACAGCCACCCGCAAACATGCCGACAGCCTCACACACAGCCTGTCTTCCACAGACACACGGACACATATGGCACAAACAGAGCTGTCTTCTGTAGACTTCCGCACCCAGCAAACCGTTCTTACTCACGGATCTGTCTTGCCTCCAGCAGCCTCCTTCTGCAGCCCTCCCAGGTGCCGACTGCCCGACACATGTGCCTACACGGAAGGCACACACAGCCGACATAGTAGTACGTTCTCTACACACTCAGTGGCACACACTGGGGCCCATGTCGTTCATGTGAAGTGCAAATACAAATACTGGTGTCCCTGGGCAGACCTGGTGCTATGCTGTGACACAGTCATACACCCAACTGCAATCAGCTGCAAGCAGAGATGCCACAGACACTGGAACACACCACAGCCCAAAGCAGCCCAAAGCAGCACACATACTCGGGGGCAGCATCCCTTGTGGGAGTTGGTACACTCCGCCCCCTCCCAATGCCCACAGCATGCACACCCTCCAAGCCTGTTCTTTTATGGAAAGACATTAAGTCAGGAAGGGGAAAGTTGGGAGAAAGTGTCCCTCCAACCCATCCCCAAGTCTGTGGCAGTTCTGGCTGGAGCCACGGAAGCCGCTCTTGCAAAGGCAGCAGAGCGCTGGGCAGCCTTGGTCAGAGTCATTGGGACGGAGCAAACCCCAGTCTCTTCTTGTTTCCTGGCCCTGACAGAGCTGTCAGCCAGGTCACGAGGCTGGGGGTGGGGCAGGGGTGTGAGGAAGATTCTGGGTGTGCCTGGGTGCAGCCTCCCCAGGTACAGCCCCTCCCCAAGCAGAAAGCACTTGGCTGCCAGCACAGCAGCACCATCTCCAAGCCACTGGATGCTTAGGTGTGGGGAGGCTGTAGCATCCCCGTACCACTACTTGGGCAGTATTCTGCCACACCCTCACAAAGGACCAGCATGAAAATGACACCATGGGCATTCTATCCCGGCGTCCACCTGAAGGTCTCACTGGGCCACCCTAGTTTTGGGAAGAGCATGTCACCTGCCCTGATGAAGGGCCAGGGACCCCCCCCTACTCCAGCACCCTTGGGCTCCAGGTCACTCTGAGTGCCCAACCCTGGAACAGGAGTATCATTGAAACATGGAACACAAACAAACACAAAACTGAGGACAGGAGCAAACAACCTTTGGAGGCCAAAGGGCTATGCTCAGGAGGTTGGGCCAGGGGAGTGCACAGCAGCTAGGAAGGAGTCAAGAGAAAGGGAGAACTCCATGCCACTCCTTCTCCTCTTTTCTCAAGTCCCTCGGTCAGGCACCAAGCAGAGAGCTGAGTACAGAGTCAGCGTGGGTACATGTGTCCACCAGCCTGCGCCCCAGGCAGGCACTGGGGACAGGAAGGGTCCCTGGGTACTCTGAGACTGGGTACTCTGCCATGGACCCTGGACAGAATATATTTTAGGAGCCTCACTCGCCCAGAGTCACTATACGCACATAGCCTTTTGGCCTCCTCGTCTGGGAGGGTGGAGAGGGAAGCATCTCTGAACATAGAACACATTTTGTTTTTCATTTTTCCCCTCAGATCATGAGGATTTATAATTAAATAAACTTGAGAGTGAGGAGAAAGGGGAAGAAGCACAAGGCAAGGAGCCCAAATGTCTCCATCCTCATCCTCACCCCTGCCCCAATACCGGGCCGCTGGCCAGCCAGAAGGACAGATGGACAGCTAGCCCTTCTAGCCAGCCTGCGAGTCCTTCTCTGGCATGCTGGCTGCAGTGGGTCAGGCCACGAGGCTGGGGGGTAAAAGACAACAGGAGGCCTGGCACCAGGGCCAGCCTTCGGGGCAGGGCCTCTCCTACCCCATCAGGTGCCCAGCTGTGCCCAGGCTCCCTCCCCCAGCACCTCCCCCCCTCAGCTGCCCAATCCCGACAAACCAGTTTGACTCAGCACAACAGGCAGGGCTACAATTTTCAAACTATGCAGGCCTGGTGATTCAGCCTCTTCATGCTGTTTAATTAGTGGAAGGCCGGGTGGCGGAGGCCTTGCCCACGGCAGCCTCAGCTGCCAGCCATGGAGGCCGAGGTGGGCAGCGAGCTGCCATGGTTCCCTGAATACCTACTGCTGTCAGCGAGCCAGCCACAAAAGTGGGGGCCCATTGTCCCTTCTTGGCTCCTTTGTCCATCCACAGGGGTCACTCCTGCTGCTGCCTCACACTCTCAGGGACAGGTATGACAGCCCAGTCAGCATGGCTGGACTGAAGGGGGGGGTGCCAGGGCCCCACCTCTTCCAGTCTGTATTGTTTGTTCTTCCTTTCCCATCCTCTCTCGAGTTAGATCTCATCCTCACAGCCCCCCTCCCCACCACCCACTCCTGGCCCCAAAGAGAAGGATCTTGGTGTGGGACGCACCTGGGGAATATGACTCAAAGCAGGAGCCAGCAATAAGGCGACCTTGTTTCCGTGTGACTTTGGGTAAATCCCAAGGCAACTGGAGGTGGGCAGGGATCAGAGAGGACAAGCCAGGCATCGACTCCATCCACAGGGCAGGCGTGATCCCTGGTTACAGAGTCCTGGTGATGAGTGTGTGATGGGGGTGTAGCGGGAGGTGAGGATGAGGAGCCAGGTTCCAGCCAGCCAGCATCTGACTGGTGGGCTTGCAACCCATAGCTCAGGAACCTGGGGTTGAATAGAAGGAGCCGCAGATGCACAAAGGCCCAGGCAGACTAAGTCGAAGGTGGATTGGAGGAAAGAGAGGCAGAATCCCACACCTGTAAAGCCTGGGTGTGTGTGTGTGGCCTGGTAGGGGGTGGGGTGAGGGGTGGGGGGATGGTGCTAAAGAAATCTTTGTGGCCCAGGGATCCTTGCCCTCTGGTCACAGCCCTGGCCCTGGAAGCCCACCCACCCATCAGGCCCCAGCAGAGGGAGCAGGTAGAGGCAGCTGCCAGGGAATAGCTCCTGACCCATCCTGTGCATCTTTGGAGCTACAGGGAGACCTAAGTGGGTGAGAAGCCAATGTGCCCCCGCCTCCCCAGCCTGTTCCCCACGGCCCATGCTTCCTCCTCCGACCTCCCTCCAGTAGAATCTGGCCTCACAGCAGTTCCACTTCCAGAGACCCCCCCCCCACCTGGCCCCCAGCAGACCTGAGGGTGACAATGACAACAGTGGTGGCAGCAGCTAGTCCCTTGGATGACAATCACTGTGCCAAGCACTGCAGTGACATGCAGGAAACCCTTCTCACAACTACCCAGCCAGGGGGACCCCATCTCACAGGGAGGGAGCCCCCGGCAGGGAGCTGCCAAGTAGGGTTGGTGGAAACTCCCTGTCTCTCTTCTTTGCTTTCATTCTTTCACTATCCCTCTCTCATAGACACACACACTGAAGGGTTCCAGACAAGGCAAAAGTGCAGCAATCGGCGAAAGCCACATTTGCAGGAACAGCCACTTGCCAGGGGACACCTGACACTGGCTTGGCCTCCTGTGACGGAGCAGCACAGGCCGAGAAGGAGGCAGGGAATGGCCCTCCTCTTGTTAGGCTGCCTCCCGGGTCAGCACCCCTTAGCTCCTTGGTGAGGAAGGCTGGGTACCAGCTCTGGCCTAGAGCCTACCAAGGGTCCAGCAGTTTCTGGGAGATGGAGGAAGTCAGGAGGAAGTCAGGAGACAGGGGTGAGGCTCCTCAGTAACTGGTGCTCACCTGACCCAAAACCACTCCCCGGGTCTACTCGGAGCCCCGGCACCCCACCACACCCCACAACCGGGACCATGGGGCCTGACACACACATACACAGATGACACACACAGCCCCTAAGTGTGTGTCTGCTGAGTGTGCGGCTGCCAACGTCTCTTCTGGCCCAAGACAGACGCAGACCTGGGAACTTCACCAGGCTGCCTGGTTCACACCCTTCAGGCAAACAACAACAAAGCCATACACGGGTTTCTCACGCCTGCGATCCTATCACACACATGTGGGTTGAGTGTGCGCCGGTGTGGGCGCGACCTCAGGGTGTCTGTCTGAATCTGCCTGTGTCCACCGCTGTGAATGGAGGTGTCAGCCGGGGGGGTGGGGGGAAGGCAGGTGTGGGGGGGAGAGGGGGGAGTCACGGAAACATCCCCTCCCCCACCTCCTGAGAAGGAAATTGGCAAGCGAGAAAAGATGTCTTTTCTCCTTCAATGGTGTTAGAGGCTTTCCCTTGGAGACGATCAAGTTTACTGACTGGGTTGGCTCGAACGAACTAGTCACAAAGAGGTTCTTGACCCTAAACTCAGAGGAAGCGACTCAATCTACAAAAGACACCCAGAAAACTAGTGAAGCCCCCATGTTTCTGGGGGTGCTCTCCTCCTGCCGTGGAGAAGATCTCCCCCCCTCCCCCAACAGCTCCAATATTTTTGGAGAGCAGGCGGCTTGCAGTGTGTGCGCGCCTGCCCATTGTTTCTGACCCCTGTCCGCGACAGGCTCCTGTGTCAAGTGGCGTGTATGCCAACCCTCTTGCCAGGGCCACCGGGCACCTCGGCCTCTCCCCTCCATCCCCCTACTCCCAGTGCAAACGCTTGAAGTTGGAGCGGCCCCCTGGCAGCAGCGGTCTTGGCAGGTTTCACAGGCGAAGCCGGGCCTGCTGCCACCCGCTAACGAATAACGCACCCGGCTCCGGCGTTCCTGAGGCGCCCCCAGCACTTTGGGGGCTTGTGAAGACCCAGCCACTAGGAAGGGGGACCGCTCGAACGCTGGGCCGGAGGGGTGGGAGCTGGGGGGGACCTTGGAGGAGGGCTCAGGGCCGGCGCACACAGCACCGCGAGTGTAGTTGGCGCTCGGTAAGCCACAAACAATAACCCGCGCCCGCCTCCCCGCCCCCGCAGCCGGCCCGGGGCCGAGCCGGGAGCCCGCACGCACAGCCTCACAGTTAACTCCAGCGGGTTCCCACGGCGCCGCCCCCAGCCGCTCCTGCACCCGTGGCGGGCGCCGCGAGGGTCGCCCACACCAAGTCCGCCTCTCCGCGCGCCCGCGCCGCCGCGCCGTGTGCGGGGTTTCTGGCACCGCAAGCTCACGGCCCGGACGGACTTTGGCGGACGTTCACCCGAGCCGAGCTGCCTACCTTCCAGGCGGCTCCCGGGGCGTTCTCCCAACCCCATCCCGCGGCCCGGCAGTCGTGCGGGTGGCCGAGCCTCCCCCGAGGTGACCACAGCCCGCACCGGCCCCGCAGCCCCCGCACCGGCCCCGCGCCCCCGCGGCCCCCTCGACGGCCGCTCACCTTCCAACGCCCGGCAGCCGGCGGGCAGCAGCAGCGGCAGCAGCAGCAACGGAGGCAGCAGCGGCGGCGGCGGCGGCGGCGGCGGGCGCGCTCGGGCCATGGCCGGGGCGGCAGCGGGAGCCGAGCCGGGCCGCTCCGGGCCGGGCCGAGCCGCGCCGGCGGGGGTGCGGGCACCCAAAGGAGAGAGGGTCCGCAGGGCGCGCTCCGAGGAAGGCTCGCGTACGAACCCAGGAGATCCGGGGCCAGGAGCGGGGTGCAATCCAGGCGGGTGGCTCCGGGACCGAGGCGGTGCCCAGAGTCCGGCGATCCTAGGGGATGCGGGCAGGTCAGTCCCGTGGGAATCTGGCCGGACCGGTCCAGGAGGATCCGGAGCTTTGGGGTGCTGGGTGACGGAGGACTCGGGGAGGCGGGCCGGGGCTGGAGGGCGCAGGTGATCGTGGTTCGGGGTACACAGTAATCCGGCAGTCCGCCGCCGGCCCGACTCGGATCCGGGGTTCCGGGAGCGCGCGCCGTCCGGGGTCCGAGCTGGGATCTTGCTGCGCCGCTCACGTACTCACTTCTGCCGCCCCCTTCTCCGGCGCCGCCGCTCCTGGGCGGGGGGGGCGGGGCCGGGCCGCCCGTCCGTCAGCGCCGAGGCCCCGCCCCCAGGCGGCCGGCCGCCCACTCACAGACCTCCCGGCCCGCGGGTTCGGCCCCCAGAGCAACTCGGCTGGGCTTCAGTTGGCGGCTCCTCCCCCGGGCCCACCCTCGGGCTCGCAGGCCTGGAGTGGGCGGGGCCAATAAAAAGATGAATTAGATTGGGCGGGGCGATCTTGGCCTTTGGAGGCATTGGCCACACCCCCGGCGGCCCATTGGCCGTTAGTCATCCTGGCTGAGTTGGAGCAGCTGCGGGCCCACACAGCGCGAGCCGGGAGCGCCCCCGTGTGGCCGGTGCAGGCGGCCGTGCTTCGCTGGGGCGCTGACCCGGGGCGCCCGCGGCCAGCGTGCCCCGGTGACCCCGGACTTCCAGTTGGCTGATTCATTCATTCAGTCTGTCAGCCACGCATTGAATCGCTCATCCAACAAATATTTTTGAGCACCCCCAAGGTGTCAGAGATGGTAGTGACAGCGGGCGGGCTCCGGCGGCGGCCGGGACACAGGAGTGTAGTTATCTCGGGTCGGCGGACGTGGCAGGTGTGAAGTCATTACCGTGGCCTGCAGCGAGCGGCCTGAGGGGCGGCCGGGCTCCCGCCAGCGCCTTCCCGGGGAGGAGGCGCTGCTTCGGGCTTTGTGTGCGAACACCTAGAGGCCGCTGTGATTCACTGGGGTGGGAGACCCGCTGACGCCAGCTGAACTCAGCTGACCCCAGCTGAAGTGCACCTGCCTGGGAGCCGGGGGTCAGAGGCGGGAGCGAGAAGGAGGACTCTGTTCTGAGAGCCGTTCTGAGGTGAGGTTGGGGGTGGAGGGCTGGCAGGAAGGAGGAGAGGGTCGCCTGGGCTAGGGAGGGTTTGAGCAACCGGCAGGTGTTTTAAGTTGTCCCCGAGGGGAGTCCACTGGTGGGAGTTAGAGATTGGGTGGTTGGAAAAGGTGTCCCGGCTGGAGACATCAAAGAGAACACCTAGGCTGCAGGTTTGGGCATTGGATTCCCGTGTTCCATTCATTGTGCAAATATTGACAAAGTGCAATAAAGGCTGGGAAACAATGGCTCACCCATCCAGAGCGGGAGGTGTTATCATAGCCTGGGTTTACAGACACAACCGACACGGATGAAGGCTTTGTGGCTTGCTCCAAGTCACATGCGGGACGTCACCTGCGGAAAAGTGGCCGAGATGGGGAGTGAAGCCAGCTCTGTACACACCCGCCCCAGCCCAGCAACAAGCTGAAGGCTTCTCGTGTGCTGGCCCAAAACTCAGCATCTCAAAACAAACACGCAAAAAAAAACCCTGAGCATCTTGGGGCAGGTGTGGTAGCACAGTGGGTTAACACACAGCTTGGGGTGCTCACTCCCATCCTGGAATATGACTTTGAGGCTTGGGCTCTCTTCCTCATACTCTATCCTTTAAGCAGAGGAACATACATAAATGAAACATTTCTTTCGATTAAAAAAAAAACTCAACATCTTGAGTCACCCTCTCTTACTTTGTCTTAGCACTGCCTCTGGGAGGTAGGACCTGGGATCCACCAGCTGCTTTTTTGTTTGTTTGTTGTTGACAATCAGCTACTTCTGACGCACACCACATCCCAAGAACCACTAGCACTCAGCAGCCTCTGGTCACTGGCTGAACCAGGGAACGTTGGTTTCTCCCTGGTCTAACCAAGCTGTCTTGACTTCTCTGGGGCTCAGAGAGTGGCCTCAGAAACAGGACATACACCTGTGGTTATCTGACCACGAAGTCCCCCAGTTCTGGCCCGTGTTAGTTCCATTAGGGTGGACATTGCTTTGGGGGGGGAGGGTTCAGGCCTCCTGGCCAGAAACAGGCCCGTGTGGGGCTGGGCAGTGGGCGTGGGGGCGCTGTGTTTCACAGTCCTAGGATTCATGCCCAGCCTCTGGAAGTCTGCCTCCCAGATCTTTTATGAAACCCTAGAGACTTCCAGTGAGCCTCGCTCAATAGGAGGAATCGTGGAGAAGAGCCTGTCTTGCTGTCCTGCAGTAGAGCCAGAAAGCTAGGGGTTGGGACTCCTTGCCCCAGAACTCCCTTGGTCCTGAAAGCAAGGAGGGGATGGGGGGCGCTGCTGGTTGGGTTAGCAGGGTGATATTTCAGCAGGTGGCCTGGCAGCAACACCTCCCAGCTCCAGCCCTGTGCATTGTAAGGCGGATCTATGAAGCCGGCACTCCTGTTTGCTCAGCATCTGTGCCAGGCAAGGCCTCACCCTGGACAAACACAGCCAGCCAGGCGGCAGGCACCAAGCTCCTTTGTTCTTGGGTCTGATAGAGGCAGCAGGTCCAGCAGGTAACGGAGGGCCCGTCCACACCGGATGTTGGCACCATGGTTCCCACGGAAGGCTTCCTGATCAAGAGGCTGCCAGGCTGGACAACACCGGGCCACAACAGCCCAGGGCCAGAAGGAGACTGACCACCTGGCCACAGAAGGGACTTGGGAAGGGACAGGTGGAGGGCTGTTGTTTCCTGGGGCTGAATGGGTCCAAGGTCCTGTTCCTCACCTTTCTTCATGTGGAGCAGATCCCAACGAACCTGGGGACCAGGCACTGACCTTTGACTTTGCCTTGAAGGGGAAACGTCCAAGCCAAAATCAGGGCTCTGCCAGCCAAACCCCTCCTCATGCATTGCCTGGTGGAGTCTAGGAGCAAATGTGAGAGAGACCCAAGTCCAAAGCCGGGATTGGTCTCAGGAGTGTCGGGGGCTTCTGTCTAGGCTCGGGGAGCGGGGTGGGGTGTGGGGAAGGCAGAGGCACAGAGGCCAGTGAAGAGGCATAAGACAAGCGCTAACAGGGATACCACTGGGGTTGTGACACAATGTCCTGGGTGTCAGTATCCCATCATTTACCCAGAAGGGAAGGGTTAGCTGTGGAGAGTGGGCAGGGCAGAGATGGGGACTGCGACTGGCATTTTGTTTGGAGTGGCTTAGCCTGGGAGGCCTGTGACACACCCCAAAGGGCATGCTCAGCTGACAGCTGGCTCCCCACCACTGCTTCCTCCTCCACTGACCTCCTTCCCCAAGCAGTCTCAACCCCTCTCTCTGTCCCTCAGTAGGCCCAGCTGTTCTCTCTCCAGCTCTCCAAAGGGCCACTTCTGTCTCCGCTTGAATGTCACCTCCCTTACCACAACCTGGTCTCCTCTCCCTTCCCCCAGGCCATTGAGCTACCAAGTGATGGCTAAGGTTACATTTTTTAGTCTCTGGTTGGCATATGTATTATCTGCCTTTGCTTCTAGAACCCGTGCTTCCTGAGGGCAGAGGCTCCAGGGCCCTGCACGATGTTGCCTCTGGATAACAACCCCCTGATTGAATAGGAAGCCCAGCACAGATTGGTGGTGTCCATTCTGCCACTTCCTCTTCCCATGCCCATGGCAGACATGGCTAATCCGCCACCGACTCCTTGCTGCTGACAGCCCCCGCCAGTCTAACGTTAAACCTCCCTGCTATCTTTGATGTGAAGGGTGACTCGAACATGAGTCATCTGAAGATTGATAAGACCCCTGCCATTTTAGACCCAGTGCCGTTTTAAATAGCCTCTTCGCTTAGGTTTCGATTTTCCTCAAGTTTCACTTCTGTAAGGGCCACACTCTTTCAGTTTTGTTCTCCACCAATCTGCCGTGGCATCAAACCTGACGGCTTTATCCACCAACCCTTCACAACCCCACATCCCCGGGGGCCTGTCCATGACCCTAGTAGCCACCAATCCCACAGGGCCCCATGTTCCCCATACCTATCCTCTTGCCACAAAAGCACACTCCTCCTTGTCAGCTCTCTCCCTCTTCCCATGGCCACCTTCCTCTTGACTAAATAAATACTTCCTGTGTGACTTGTTGTGTCTGGTGTTTGGGTTTGTGGCAAAAATTCTTAACACTTGGAGTAGATAAAACTCCTTCCTTGCTTGCTGTTGGCATAGTCTCGTGCGAGCCTTTTCAAAGTTCTTTGGGCCTCAGTCCCCTAACCTGAGATCTTACATACAAGATCTTGTACAAAACGCCTTATATGAGATGTCGGGAGGGTCCTCTTTTTGCCTCTTCCTTAGGCCTGGGCCCTGCTCTGGATCCTGGAGACCAGTGTACAGGGGGCTTGGTTCTTGTCCTTCTGTTGGTCACAGCCACTGCCCGATGTGCCTCTCCTCTTGCCTGGCGTCTCAGTTGTTCTAGAAGGCAAGGCTAGAAGAGACCCGCAAAACCTTCATTTTCAGACGAGGAAATGGGGCTCAGAAGGGGAAACCCAGCAAAGGCTGGATGGGTGCAGCCAGCTCTCTCCCCAGGCCTACAGGGCGCGGGTCACCTCCTTCTCTGGGTGGGGGCCGGAGGGAGGCATGGGGACTTGGAGTTTCCTTCCTTCAGTCCCGGGCGTGTTCCCAAGCCCTGGGAGGCCCCTAGGCTGGCTTCCTTCCAGGTCCTGTGGGCAGTTGGCAGAAGAAGAATGCCCTGTGGGTTCCTGGCTCTGTCTCCGGCTTCCGAACAGCCCATTGAAAGGAGGTGAGAAAGGTGCCGCGTCTTCCTCCACAGTTGCTGCGGAAATTGCCGTGGTTGTTGGGGCCAGGGAGAAGCTTTCGGCTGTTCCAAAGCCAATTAGTGTCCTGTTGGCAGCTTCTCACCATCTTCTTCCGCTCCACTCGGATCATCCTCTCCACTCTCGGAAGCTGGTCTGCCATAGGGGTGTCCGCCGACAGGAGCTGTTTTTGTTTGTTTGTTTATTTTTTGCTCCACTCCCCCCACCAAGGCAGAGCAGGTGGAGGAGTGGATTGTGGATGGATGGACGCTGACTGTAATGTTTGGTGGAGTGTGGCTTTGGACATCTCCTGGCGAGGGAGCGTCCGCACTACCTTTGAGCCCGCCTGTGCACAGCTCTTGTTTGCAATCTGTCTTTTCTGATGGCGAAGCTGTGCTTCCTTTTTAGGAGCTATTTGGGGAAACACGAATG